TTCTAGTATACTTATTAAAAAATATAAAAGACAGATATATATATATATATATATATATATATATATATATATATATATATATATATCTTTTTTATCCAATTTATTGTTCAAATAGTGCACTGATACTTTGCCTATTTCTTTGAAGCCTTTACTACGTATCCGATGAATTACACCTGACGATAATTTCGAGCAATGGAAACCGTGAGGTTAGTAATTGACCTTCAAAGAGTTAGAGATACATAGCCAGAGAGTATATATAGAGAGTACAGCTATATTTTAGCGCTTCTAGTGTAATATTCGTGAAATATGGCGGCCATGTTTCAAGGTGTCTGTCAGAGTGTTTTGAACTGAGTTAATCAACTCTACAGATTACCTTTCTTCGGTGTGTTTAGTTGCTTAATTGTTCTCGAGTACGAAGCCACAGGTTAAAACTCAACTCTTCTGTTGTTTTTTTTATGTTGGTCACATGCTGAAGTTAACCCGTAATCTTCTAACAGAGAAAAAATTCTTATTGATGATATACTGCAGGAAATTTCAGTGAAGTTAAGTGGGAGTTTTTTTGAAAACTAACAAATGTTCAAGAAAAAGAACGGTTGCATGCTGCAAATAAATTATGAAGACAGCATTTACTGTACGAAACAGAAAATGAAAGGTGGTTTAGCAGCTCAGACGCCCAGTCTGCCAGTGGCTAAAGCAATGTTTTGCAAAAATATTGGGATGAATGAATTTCAGTGTTGTGAAAGTATAGTGAAGTTCATAAAAACAATTGATTTGACATTTAACTTTTTAAATAGTTGTCATCCAATGGGTAAAAGGACAAATGCTTGCTCGTAAAAGAGAAACAAAGATGCAGTGTGCAGTCAAATTGATGAATGCATTGTTTACTTCAAAAATTTAAAATTTGCTGATAGCTCATCTGTGTGGACATCAGCCAGAAAGATACCCTTGTATTGATTTGTCAATGACATGTTAAGCATAAAAGTTATTGCAGGAAATTATATGTGGGATGATAATCCAAAGCTTAAATATCTATTAACTCGAAGGCTTAGCCAACACCATTTGGAATTATTTTTTAGTTCTTTACGAACAAGAGGTGATCACAGAACTAATCCCAATGATGTACAATTCCATGCAGCGTATAGGATATATTTAATTCCATCGGTCATGCCATCTGAGAATGACAATAGCACATTTTTGATAGTGAATGCTTACTCAAGAGGGTCAGACTTTTGAAAATGTAAGAACTTGCATAGTAGTAATATCCATGACTATTGCAATCCAGGGTATTAGATAGATACTCAGTCTTTGTTGAAAATGTTGTCGAATACATTGCAGGGAGCATTGTGTATGGAATTTCAAACAAACAAACAAAAATGTGCTGAATGTTTGGATGCTCTGTTTCAAAACAAAAGGAAACGCAAATAAGAATTAATTGCATTGAAAGATGTCAATAATTCCCTTGTGAATCCTTCACAGGGAGTGATAAAACTCTGTACGATTGCTGGACAAATTTTCAGAAGAAATGAGGTAATTTCAGTAAGAAATCAGAAGAAAATTTCTAAAATTTCATACTGAAGTGATGTCAATGCCATCGGATTGCTCATTATTTGATTGTGATCATATGTTTACAGCTATGGGGGCAAATGAAATCTCTCAGTTTGCATCTCTGGTAAAATTAATTTTGGAGCATTATTTTACATGCAGAATTCACTATGTTTGTAAAAAAATTCTGCAGAGATAGAAGGGAAGAATGTGAGACAGATGTTTACAAAATTAATTTTATTTAAAGGTCAATAAAACTATCCTAATGTAAACTAATGAAGGACTTGTGTATTTTCATTCTGAACATACTTACCTTATTTACTATTATGTTTTCTCTTATTAGACTTATTTTTATTAATATCCTGCAATTTTTTTGTAAAACCTTCCCGTATAAATATTACCCCCATACCAATTTTTATTTAAGTGAGAAGAATAGTTTCCAGTGTGTTAATTGCTACAACACAAACCCCTCTAATGAAGTAGAAATCTAAAATTATTCACTAAAAATATAGAGAATTTAAATTAATGAATGCTAATTTTTTTTACTTATGTGTATAACCATAGAGTAATGAACCTCCTTAGTCTATGATATCACTATATTTAATCCTAATTGATATATAAATTCAATTTTGTTTACATTTAATTTTCAAAATGCATATAATTTTAAAAATATATTTTAAGTTCAATAAACGTACGGTGGAATATCGTATTCATGTCAGTGCATTGCATGCGAAGAAATGTGTTTGAATTCTACCTCCTACCAATACTCTTTGGTATACGACACATACTCGATGTACGATAAATATTCGATACGTAAACGATAGAAACCCTTTGCCTCCCACCGTGCCTCCATCTTACGCATTAATTTCACGTAAAATAAATTGTTCTTTAATTACCTGCCGTATTGGAAAATTGGTAGATAAAGAAATTTCAAATGCCCCGGGTAACGTCTGCCCTCCATTTCAATTGGTAGATCGCCTTCGCACGCTTATTGGCTGGCGAGGGGCATAAATGGATACTTCTTTCTGATTCGTTGCTTCCGTCGGAGTGGGAGGTCGACTTTCTCCCCTCCATGAAAATAAGGAGCTTCAGAATAACATGTGTGCCGACTCTGTAATATACTCTCTGCCTCCATCTTCCGCTTCGTTCAAACCTAAACTGTTGGTTCAAATTACATTTTTAGCATATTAATTTTAACAAAATTATATTCCTGTCTAGATCGCATTGCGTTAGTTGTGTTTATTTCAATCCATTACAGTTTCGTTGATTAGTTCATATTATTGTCCATGTTATAAAGTATTATATTTTTAATTTATGTTGTTTAAATATATTGTTTCAATGATGCATTCTGTTACTTTATTTCAAATGTATTATTTCATCAATAATATTTTCGACCACGTAGTTAATTATCATTGTTACCAAATTTTATTTAACTCCTGGTTGTGTTTTATTAAATAGTAATTGCTCGATTCTGGTATTACCTATACCGATACCGTGTTAAACGGCTTTGATTGAATTGAATTGATTCGAATCCTTGGACAATCGAATCTTTTATTTCTATTCATTTGAAGAATTGACTCCCAACATTTCGATTCTGAGATAAATTTAAGAATCGATTCCCTTACAGGAATTGTATGTCCCTGGCACCAGGGGCTCCTAGCTTCATAGGGCTGGGTCTGGCCTGCGTTTTCCTCAAAGTTTAGTTGGGATTCCG